TAATTTGAATGATTGTCGAAATGTCGATTAGGTAATCAATGTGAAGTTGGAAGCAATGCACAATTGCGTACGATTTACAGCGAAAAATAGTATGTACACTGTACATGTGAAAGCAAGTTGTTGTTTTACCACAAGGTGGGTTAATTAGAGATTATTAGTTTCTTGACGATCGTCTTTTTTTATGTTATTTATAAATGTCAGTATATCTTATTAGTTAATTTTTAATAGTCCTGCACCAAGACTGTTTCTCCCCTGCGATTTCAACTTCTCAAGGTGTAACTGCATGCATGTTGTGTTGGAAAGGTGAGCTGTACGTGCATATGGGGGGACATAGTGTTGAAGCAAAACTAGCTCTTTATCAATATATTACTTACACGAGGGTGCACTTTGTACGTATTGCAGCATCACTGGTGATCCACTCGATTAGGCTGGAACCGTTTCGGTAACAAAATGTCGGAACGTCGAAGGTACGATTTTTCTTTTTAACCCCTACCGTTTATGTAATTTAAGTGAGGAATTAAATCGACGATTATGTTGTCTTCTGGGCTATTTTTTCGCAAACATGTACATTTTCTAAAACATATGATACTGATACACGTTTGTGAGAAAAGATGTGGGGATTCTGCCTACGACGCGTGAAATAAGGAAAAAAGAAAAATCGTTCCGACATTTTGTTACCGAAACGGTTCGTTTCGGTAACCAGCGTAATCGAGCGGATCACCAGTGAGCATGAAAAAACGTCCATTGAAAGATTTCAACAAAATGTACAAGTTTAGCTGGTGTAGCAGAGTAGATGCACCTTCGTTTAGCCAGGCCAGGAAGCACACGCTCGTGTTCAAATAAGGCAGATACTGCACATTAAAGCAAACATGTTAAAGGGGAATCGATGGTAATTGTCTCATGTTAAACTTGTTAAACACTAATTCATTGCAGTTTAGTGGGAAAGAAGTTACAGAAATGATAGATTTTCAGGGAAAATAATGGCTAATTGTGTCATCAAGGTGAATCGGTTTAATTGGATAACATTAATTTGAGATAAAAGGAACCCATTAAGTCTGGGCGAAGCTCCTAAATTATTCCTGTCCGAAATCGTATATAGTGGCAAAGTGACTTTTTATCGCAACTATTAGAGACCTAGAAAAGTGAGAATCAGATCACGAGCAACTTGACCAGAATTTTATCTAAAGGGACATTCCTTCCCAGAATAATATGCACGGTAGCCAGGCCCGTATCCAGTATAGGGGGGGGGGGGTTGAGTTTTCAAAAATCCCCCCCTGGCTGCGGGCCTGGTAGCTATAACCATAATACATATACTTTCCATATTTAGCAAACATGGGCAAATGTTTTGATATGGTCAATGTTGATCATTTCAAAATTGTAGTGTCGACTTAGAATCAAAGAAGAGATTATTAATAGACAAAAGAATATTCATCAGCTGGTTTTATTATTCTCAATACCACTTGCCTAATGCTATATGCAAATTGAGTTGATGACATCAATTCGTGTGTTAAATTTTTAAAAATGGCAGGTTACTAGATATGAGCAATTCATTTTGAAATTGACCATATCAAAACATTTTCCATATTTTGCTGGAAAGTATATAATATGTATGGTTTAAGTTTAAAGTTTAAAAATAGTTTATCACAGTGTCACCTGTGACATATACAATTAAATACAATATAGTATAAATACATTAAGTACAGGTAATAAATCACAACCAGCCTGCATCGGCTTATGAGACACCATCAATTCAGAACAATATAAATATAAAATAAAATATGAACTGCACAATGATTAATTATGTATTGATCATTGACGTTTTCTCCTGGACCAAAATTTAAAAACAGTTGCTGCAAGTTTATATTGGATGCTGGCAGTTTTTATAAGAGTGAGCATTTTAATGTCTTGTGGCATATCTTTGAAATTGCAAGGGAGTAGGTTTTCAATACTTTCTAAGAAACAATCTCTAATGTCTGTGTATGCATGGCATTCTAAAAGGAAATGTTTTTCTGTTTCAACTGGGAAACCAATGTCTGAGCATACCTGGCATACGTTGTTGGAGGGGTGTGTTTGATAAACGTCTATGCATGAGTTATAGAGATCCGCATATAAGTCTGGACAACCCTCTAAGCAACAACGACTTTTGGGATTTAGAGCGATTTCTTCTTTGGTCTAAATATGCTGCCTTTAAAAATTGTTCAAAGATGCAATTTCATTATATTTAGACAATCTATTTTTATGTACTTCAATGACAAAAACTATTTATACAGAAACCGTTGTTGATGATAACCATACCACTGTTTCACCATTGTTATAATACAATTCCAAGTTTAGCGCTCATTAAAAGACAACGAATGAGCGTAAAAACTGCGCAGATGAGTGAAAACTGAAGGTGCAAACAAGAATTTCATACATCACCTTTTTAGTTCAATGATTAACAAATCGACTGCGCAATAGAATAATATCATTATGGAAAATACCATATTTCTCATGGGGGCTCTTCAGAAAAATATTTCAATTTAGCGCCCATGGGCGCTATCATGGATGAGGCCCACCACGTAACTAGATTAAAAAAATCTCCGGTAGGGTGATTGAAATCAAATTGAAATTAATAATTGTTTTTTTTTATGATTGCAATAGATAGGATTTCTTGTGTACAGTCCCTGTAGTGGTGGATTTAAAATACTGAGTCAACATTAATTTGTTGATTAGCAAAAACAAGATTTCGAGGCATGAAAGGAATATTTTCAAAGGCAATCACATTAGTAGCATGTAAAAGATCTCAAGACGAATATTGTTGCTGTTTAAGTGTCTTTGGGAATATTCACTCGCCAAGACATTCTGTCAAGTTGATAGAATCTTTAAATTAATATTTTGTTAATCATATTGGATTGGACTCCTTGTGGAGATTAACTAATTTCGTAATCAACGCAGAGGGATCTGTTGAGAAATGTAAGGCTTGATCACGGACAGCTTCACGTCATATTTGTTGTCGCGTTTGTGAACTGCTGAACTGTGTTGAATTTCTACACAAATATGTAGTTATGCCCATTTTGGTATTTTCTTGATTAATCAGATTCCAAGTTGAAGATCGGTGGACACTGGTCGACTGTTGACCCATTGGTTGCCTGATATAGGCTAATGCCACGATTCAGTAAAAACGTCTTTGGTCTGACCAGTATACTTTATTATTATCTCTCGAAGTAAAATTCATTGAGGTCATTTGACGAATTGGGTTGCAAAGGCACAACCATCATCATCATCATCATCATCATCATCATCATCATCATGCCTATTGATCATTATATCACTAGACGTACCGGATTGCAAACCATACGTGCATGTTGATCGGATGACGTGCCGAAAACGCACCATTAAGGTCACCTGACGTACCTGTTTGATTTATCAATATTGATGACTGTCACGCAACCGGCATCGTACAAACTGCCTAAGATTGCAAAACAACTGCCAGTTTGTCAGTTTGAAACACAAATCTGTTTCCAAAATAGTGGGTGGATCGATTAAGGGTATTGTCTCGTAACAAAAACTATACACTGTTCACGGACGATAGGATAAAAGTGCTCCCACATATCGCCTCCTCTGAGATCGAGAATTTCCGCTGGTATATGATCTACCAAAACAACCCACGCAACCAACTTACTTGAAGTGTTTTTGATATTTTTCCTTTTGGATTGCTGTTTCTATGAAATTGAGCACATCGACATTTTATAGTTGCATATTGATAAATAATTCAAAAGTCTAAATTACGCATGCGATTAAGCCGATGCGTTTTAATCATGGGACTATTTTATGGAGACCGACCCTCTCAATCTCTTGTATTTCAGGTAACCATTTACCAGAGTGAAAGTCTGATGAAGTAGAAATCAATTATTCATGGAGTGTAATTTACGATCTCGATAGTTCGAACATGAAAAGGTTCAGCTTAGGGCGATGATGAATGATCAAGTCTGTTTCTTCTTAGATGTTACCAAAGAACCCATCAGTTTAAAATGTGATTACGTTTGTTTGAAATTGTCTGGCGACATTGTTGTAATCTTAGACAATACTCACGAAACTAGAATCTCTGGTTTTGTTTTCATTTTCCACTGTCACTTGATGAAAACATGGGCGATTCACGTAATTTGACGTGTTGTTTAACCGATCAATATTAAGTGATCATCATCTTCTAAACGTAAACATACATTTTTTCTCTTAAATAGCTTTATAAATGTTTAGCTTATTAGTAGTGACTATATGTTGTTTGATGTTCACTTCTGAGTGTTTGGTTTGTCCTATCTATTTCACTAGGACGCTTTCCTTTACTTTGATGCTCCTTGATCAACGGAGTTGTCCAATGGATATAGTGTCTCTAAAAACGGTAAACCAGGTAATGCATTTTCGCTGTTGCGCCCATAAGGCAATGGGTATAGTTGATCAATAAGCACCCATATCCTTTGATGAAAGCGTTGTTGCGTGGGAAAACAGAGATAATCTTAATTATGAGTAAGATCGTCTTTGTCAATCACTTGTTCTTCGAAGACAACATTTTGCTAGGTTAGTGTTTATTCCAAATTGGCCCACGGGTTTCCTTCCTTGAACAATCAACTGAACAACATGGGAATGTTCACGAATGTCAGTTTGTAAGTTCTAGAAACTACTCATAAATTCATGCGCCGTTATCCTTGCCACCGCGATAAAAAAACTATTGTCGAAGAAATGGTCGTTTTACAACTACACTCTAGCTTTCAAGAAGTACAACAAGGCACCATATTACTATACGTGATGCCTTTTAATTTTTCATTTGAAGTGAGATTAAAAGGGGATCATATTCAATCATGTATGGTCATTAATGAATAGTATAATTATAATTATACTAAACATGTTTAGTCAAGTATTTATATTTATATTTGTGTTAATTTATATTTATACTAAAGAAGTGAAACAAAGAAATGCGACTTGAATATACTGATACATGTATATACTTTGTAATTCTTTTCTAGGAGTGACCAAAGAGTGCAAACAGCAATACCTGTAAATAGCAACTAAGGTTCCACAAGAAAATGGTGCGTCCCGTCCTAGTCACCCTTGTCATATGCTGTGTAGTAGCACTCTACCAGACAAACGCCAACACACTCAGGCAAAAACGCTCTTCTACACCAAAAGGTATGAAAAGGTTACGTAGGCCCAAATGCAGTTTCAGAAAAAGAAGACACACTTCTCACAAACCCATAAAATATCACGTTAACCCGTAATCGTAAACTTGACTATAAATACTAGAAAATAACTATATCGGGAAGTGAGATTTTTCTGATTCATTACCCAACAGTATGTGTACGCATCATAATATAAAACCCAGAAGGTTTTACCTATTTCAATCAGAGACTCTGTTTCAATGAATATTGACTCCACCAATAACTGGCCTCCGGGGTATACTTATAACTTATTATGATGAGCGATGAAACATATTTATCATTGAGCCAGAATGAGATAGTAATATACTGCTGGTTGCGTTTATAGCTTTGCATTATACACGAACTAGAAAACCCAACCATTAGCATGATAACAAATCTACATGTAAATGACTGAATGATAAAATATGATAACATTAAAAGGCTCTAAAAATAAATAATGGCTCGACTATTTTAACATGTATATCTAGAGAAATTTAATATATTTGTGATTAAAGGAGGGCAATTAGTAATTACTCAATTAATAATAATAATGTTAAGCTAATTGTCTCAAGTTTCGTGTGACGCGTTCGTTTCTTGGTACGTTGGAAGTCCCGCCATTTTTGCGCATCCGAACTATATCCGAACTGTGTATCACAGAGAAGAAATGTCGTAGAATTCATCAATAATGAGTTGGCCGCCATTTTGATTAATGCGCACTCTTGGTAATTGATTCGTTGATATGAAAAATTACTCGAAATAACATACACTGAGAGCATTTTTGTTATTATGCCCCCATCCAATAGCTTACTTCAATTTATGACTGAATTTCACAAATCTTGTTATACTTCAGTTACAGTTAGTAGTGCTAATATACGACGGACAGAAATACACAAATATATATTTAGATTTTATGCAAATGAGACCAAATGAGACTGTACGTTGACCAAAAGCGACTGTACGTTAACCAATTGAGATAAATCGGGATATCCTATTTAGCGTTCATTTGCTATTCATTTTGATAGCACTTTTCTTTTTCATGATAGTGTAGTATGGCACTGTTTTTGGTCATGATAGCTCAGAAGTTTAGATTGAGCGAGAGCAAGAAGGAATAAAGTAGGACACCCAATCTGTACTTTTTCTCTATTTATACTTTTTGCATTACATTGTCATATTCTTTTGATGTTCTCTTCGTAACAACGGGACTACTATGCAATATATACAATGCTATTTTGTAATCTGTACCATGACAACAAATGAGAACATGATTATGCATAGATATGTTATGCATTATCAATAATAAATGTTCCCCTATCTGTATCAATGAAGCCGTTAATTGCTATTAATACTAAAATCCCTAGAATCACATCGAGGTCAATATTGAGAGACTCATTGTCATGGTGATGATAAACAACATATATTTTTGTTTCCAGACAGGGGTGCATTGTCACAACATCTAATAAGATGGTAAGATTATTTTTTATCTACTTATAAGCACAAGTCTGTCTCCAGCTCTTTAACTACAAATGGGCATTAGACAGATTTTATGAGTTCAAGATATCCTCTATTTGTGGTTTAAATGCTTAGTTAAACGCGAACATAAACCGCAAGATAATAAACGAGGTAATATTAGCATTTTATTTACCCCTTTACATTTTAAATTATTAATTAATTTGTAAAATATTGTACACAAATACAAAAACGTTGTGAAATTGTCTTTGTCTTCCACATTTGAAGTTGGAATAGAAATTCCGATATAACATAACATTTATGTTCATAAAAATCTATCAAATCACCTAAATCATCTGTGTGCGAATGCCAATGTCACCGCTTATTGAATGGTATTATGAATTGCATGACAATTTCTTTATGTATCATGCATGCACTCTCACATGCTGGTATCGAAAGATTTGTCCGCTGTGACGGAGCATGCTATTTTAATAAAAACACTAAGAATACTTCACAATTTATTTTTTAACTCATATTTTTCGTTATATCAAAGGAAATTCCTTACTCCATGCAATGGATATATCATTTGTGGGTAACACTCACTTCAATTTGTCCAATAGTGCTATGAGTAAAATCTATTGAAAACGGCGACAGGGTATCAAACTACCATTTTTAAACTTTTTAATGGCATGATATAGTGACACGATACTATTTACATGTTTTCAACATAACGTTGAATGTATTAATGAGATCTGGATGTATTGGGTCTTTTTAAATTTTTATAAAAAATAATATTTACATTTTTTGTCCGCTGTGACGGAGCAGTTTCACAGTTCATATTTGCAACTGCTCCGTCACAGCGGACAAAAATTTAAACATTTTTTTATAAAAAAAGTTAAAAAGACCCAATGCACCAATATCTCATAATACATTCAGAGTTATGCTGAAAATATATGTAAATGTAATCGTGTCACTATATCATGCCATTTAAAAGTTAAAAAGGAAATGGTACACTTTGTAGTATGATACTAAGACTTTAAGTTTTCTTTATATTTGATTAGATGCTTGAGATAGTAATGTCCTTCAATAAATAAATTAATACTCCGGTGCCATTTCCAATAGCTTTGCCTCCTAGCGTTATGGGACTTCAACCAGAAGTGGAAGTTACCCGCAAATGATATGTCCATTGCATGAAGAAAATAATTTTCTTTGGTATTACGAAAAATATGAGTTAAAAAATAAATTGTGTGGTTTTCTTAGTGTTTTTATGAAAAATAACATGCTCCGTCACAGCAGACAAATCTTTCGATACCAGCCTGTGACGCTAAGTCACCGTATCGTAAGTGCCAGTTTAGCTTCAAAATGACGATGAAATTCACTAAGATCATTGATTCTTTCACTTCTATGGTGCCGGGTTATTGTAACATATTGTTCTAACATATTACATTGGTATGAAATTTTAAAGCCAAATTATGAGAAAGTGAATTAATTAAAATCTATGTGTACGAGAACGTTTAAAATCGTTGATCCTCATGTGCCATTTGAACAAAGTATAAAAACCATAGGCTCACTGTGTGAACCAACGAGGTTTACCAACAAGGCTTTGTCGGCGCGGGGGTAGTCCCTCTGTCGACGACACGTTCAATTGATTACTGTAATTCCTAATACATTTCAGGATGAAAAAGAATTTTTACGACGAGTGTGCTGGTAGCTGCTCTGTGAATGCAAATGGCGAGGACGACTGTACCTGCTTTGGATACTTCTGTTCTGTGGAAACCAACGAAATACAGAATATCGGGGCACGGGAAGAGGGCGTCTGCAGTCCATTGGCGCAGTTCTGGGGCTACAAGTAACTTAGTGCCTAGACACGGAAAACCTCTGGGACCACCAGTGATATGGGCCTAAGACAAGACATCGTTTCACACATTTAAAAACAATTTGAAACCGCTGAATTTATTCTCATTAACACATTTGTCTACCATATTTTTTATATTGTTTTCAATAGGCAAAGACTCTCATCAATGAGGTAAACTACATTATCAAAAACATAGTAAATGTAAATATACATCCGAATATCAGTGTACGTAATTCCCTCATGTGATCATTGTACGAATGAATTTGTAAATACTTTCCTTTGTTGTTTATATATCTGATTAGATGGAAAATAACTTGTATATCTCATTAAATGGATATTCAACTATTCTGTACTTTTTCAAAACTGCAATAGATGGAAAAATAAGGAAATAAACAGTAAATCCATGAAAACATCAATACCATGTTTAAGTTTTAAATTAATGATATCGAGCATTTTCTATTGTGAAACAGTCACATCAGCACTATTTTATTCTCATTGGGAAAAGTATTTGCGAACAAGTATATAAAGTTTGTCGTGATGACTTGACCCCCCCCCACACACACGCTCTTTCCTCCATCGTTTACCACCAATATATCACAACAAAATGGATGAACATCCGTAGAAGGAAACGTTGATATTCGTCATTTTAACCAAGAAGGGGGTCGATTTGTTTCCTAGGATTTTACCCGTAATGTTAATAGTAATATCCGGTTACTGATTCGAAAAGCTAGTCAGTCACAGGCAACTATATTCAGCAGGTCCAATAATCAGTGAGAATTCCTCACTTCAGCAACCAGGATGTTATCTGGTGAATTTCATAACGTCTTTTGGTTGCCTTTGTATAGTTTATTGACGTCCTGGTTGCCCTTGATCGATGTACAGGATGCTACTATTAATATACGGGTAAAATATTTGAATACAAATCAACCTCATTCTTGGTGAAAATGAAAAAATTCAAAATTGCTTCATACGGAAATTCGTCAACGTTTTTTAACCAGGTGGGGACCAGTGATATAACCTAAGTATATATTTTGTTCGGGTTTCATTTCAAACATCAATAAAAAAAATATCCACAATTCATGTAGCTTCAGATTCAGAATTCAGTTTATTTCATTTCTTTTGTCAATTTAATCTATTCAGTCTAAAGTCGCCATGTTTTCTAGTAACAACGTGGGGCTGGGCATGCACGTGTCTGCGTAGGGCACATTGGGTCCCTACTGTCCCGGGACTGGAGTCCGTTCTGCTGCATGAAGTACTCTGCCTCCATTCTTTCCATGTCGGGTTTCACTAGATACAATCCATACTCGATGGATGTCATTGCAATGACACCTGCGAAAAAAATCAAAAAATGAATCAAAACTAAATGTCTTGAGTTACATATTTATTGTGAGGCCTCTGTTTTTAATTATAAGTTATCAGTTCAATTCTCAGTCATATACTTAATTTAAGTTCGATATCTGGTCATATTCGCAGACCTCGTACATTACTAAATTTAAATGCTGTAGAACATTAAATTACAAAGTCATATTTTGTCTGTATAAACTGTATATTACCAGAGTCAAAGTATGGGTAGTTGCTCCATGATCCCGAGTAGCGGACTCTGCCATCATCAACGTCACTCAAAACATCAAAAAATCCTGTCTCAGTCAATTGGAAACCACGCTTTAAAAAAGATAACGGCGATTACTTTACACCTCAAAGATGAGGTAATTTTAAAGAGGCTCTATGCCATAGGATAGCACAATCAAGACCCCTCTGGACTTTTTTGCATGTTGAGTTTCACCACACATATACCCATCTACTTACCAAAGAAGGAGTCCCAAACCCCCCTCTTTCAGTGTTAATTTTGCGATTGTGCTGGCCGACCTAATTATTTTCGAAGAAATTAATTCAATCTAAAGTTTGAATATTCCGGGAAAGTCCTCCTGTTATCTGATTTGTCGTTGAATTTGTTTCTCATAAACCCGATTGGCTTCCTGGTTCAAGGCGCTTGTGGGCGCTTGTGTGACTCAATGGGGATTTCCCTCGATAGCCAAGGAATCGATTGTGTTTAATTATGGAGTTTGGTTGTTCTGTTGATTATTTCCGATATTTCGGCAATAATATACCCAAAAGTTATTCTAAAGATATATCCATGGTATGTGAGATATTATAATGAGCAATAACACTAGGACATCATTGATTGTCTGGGGGAGAAACCCATGGCATAATGCATCTTTAAGTTATCCTCCCTCTCCCTGCGCCGTACCCCACGCGTTCAGCAGCCACAAGACATTGGTACAGCCACTATGTCAAGAGAAAGAATGCTGGTATAATTTCAGCCAGATTCAACAGGCCACTTGGCTGTTGCCATTTTGTGCAGCTTCGTGACATAGTAGGGGGCATATCAAACAATGCTCAATATCATTAGATGAAGTATCACTACATCTAGTACCAAGACTATCTCTTCGTCCCCGGCTCTTCGTTGTGAGAGATGGTCTTGGTTCTAGATAAATATCAACCACAGATCTATAATAATAATCAATATTCGATATTGTCAAGGATTATATGGTTAGTTCAAGAATAAACCGAATTTCTTTTACCTGGTCAATCCTAAGTATTCTGAGCCCAGCTTCGTAGTTGGACTGGTATGTCCAGTCGCCCTTAATGTATTGGTTGTGATCGATAGACTGTTGGGTAGAGATGAATGTGTCTCTCCAAACAGGATTCCTCAGATCTTTCACGTCCCAAAGGTATGTGTAAGTGTTCCTGAAAGATTCAGATACAGAAGTGTTTCGGGAAAATTCAAATGCAGTAAGGATAAGTAAGTTCGAGAACAGTTTCGTAACTTCCCATTTGAGTTCCTCCACAGACTACCCAAAACAATTAGTACTTTGTTTAAGCTTCTTCATGGTCTTAAAATAGGACAGAAACGTAATGGCCAATTCAAGACATAGCCGAAGTGGGAAAGCCTTGTTTGGTATAAAAAGAATCATCTAACATAGACTACCTTTCAACCCCTTTTACAGCAAATGATGAAATTCACAAAGGAACAATGTCGATGACTCAACGACTAAACGAAAGGAAAAAAACGCTTGGAAGGTATAAGAGAATTTAAATCCGATAAACAAATTGCAGCGAATACAAATACCAAAATACAATATACAAAAACGTGGAAGTAAAGTATGATTTTTGCTACTCACTGATCACCGTTCTTCTCGTAGTATTCGTCCTGTTCGTCGTCTAATAGAAGCATTGTCTGGTCCTCAGTCAACCAACCCTTTAACACATTAAAATCAATTGAACAGTATTCTAAGATTGTTAGACCCCTTTGCATAATATAGAACCTCCAAGATGGAAAATACATTAACATAATTGTGTACAATTTAATTTTGTACAATTTTATCTTGTGCAAAGAGGCATGCCACAAAGGAAAGATATGGATTGAGGGAATTCTGACTATTTCATAAAAATGCTTTTCGGACAATAATTCATTTAATCGTTAAATAAAATAATTGGTTACGAAGCTATTCACGAAAACAGATGAAATTGCCCCTCTCAGCATTCAGAGAGATTGTGGAAACTGATCCAATGTGATTTGTACCGTTTACAATGAGCACGTAGTTTCATCACCTGATGTGTGTATTTGGAGAGATCATATCCCATCTTGCTGACCATTACAGGGTTAGAACGGTCAGTGACATCAACAATAGTCAAAGAATCTTCGTTGTAATTGAAACAAATTTCTCTTCCAGTGTATCTGCAGATAAAACGTAACAAGTTTAATTCAGCAGTAGATGTTACAGGGATACAACATGAATCGACCCTCTGTGTCCATGCGGTCCATTCGATTTAAATCTGTTCTATGGGTAGATTCGTAAAATGAATTTGATTGTTGACGTAACCAAAGATGCCACTCTACTAAAATACTCTAATCAATAAATCGAGATAATGAAAATCCTCAGAGACAGAGACTGTTTGTATATTTACCTCCCATCTGGACCCCTGTAGATGACACACTGGGCATCGTGAGTGTAGCCATCCTCGGAATAACATCCGGCAAACACGGGCTGCTTCGGGTCTGATACATCAACCATGTGAAGACCACCTAAAACATAATGTGAAAGAGTGTGCAACACTTGTAACAGACGCCAAAAACGAGTTTTGAGTGATTTTGTCAACACTTCTGTCGATACTGTCAAAATAATCAATAGCGCACCGTATGTTTTTATCAACATTATGTCTCAATACAAAAAGTAAAACCAAAATGAAAATGATAAAATCCTAATCTATGGGAAAGTGTAAAGATGTCTCACTTGAACAAGATATGTAGTCGGACCAGTATGATCCGGATGCCCCAACGATGAAGATGGTATTTGTCTCCTCATTGGAGATAATGTTGTGAGAATTGCCGACCTTGTTGTAGTGGAAGTCATGTGATACCACGCCAAGACTTTCCTGACCACGAAGTCTGGTCAAATCAAAGACCTGCATACCGTGACCCGATGCCTCTGAGCCAATGTAAGCGTGGTTGTTGATTACCTTAGCGTCTCTCCAGGAGCTGGTGGAGGTATGGGTAGGCAGGAAAGCGACCACAGTTGGGTTCTCGGGGTCTGGGGAAATACGGACGAATGAGGTACCTGTCGTCATACAGTGTATCACGTATTCTTCACCGTTGTCTGGATCCGTCCATCCCCAAATGTCGTTACTTTCACGGCTAGAATTTGACATAACATCAAATAATTGAATCAATAACAGATTAAGATGTCCCGGATACATTAAGTACATAAAAGGACGAGATGACCACCAATAGTAATTTTAGACTATTCTTCTCAAATGATAAAGGCGTTAATTACTTGTAAGCATCATCATGATCCATGTCAAGGGCATCTAGGGACAAGAACGACAGTTGGTCGATGTTATGACAAGCGAGGGGACTTGACGATCCGGGAATTGTACCAGCAGCTCCTACAAAGGCAATACTGGATGACTATTTTTTAAATCTATGATTTATAACATGCTTATATTTTCTCCATCAATATTGCTGTCAATTATTGATAAAAATGACTAATTTACCATCGATGCATTTTCGAGGTCCGTCAGTTGGAGCCTGTCCCATGAGTTCGGGGCATGTGCCATCTTTGCGGCAACTCACTCTCTCAGCAGCACTCTTCAGTTTTTCTTTGGTCATCATCTTCATATATTGTCGGCCCGCGTCAAACTTGGTCGCTGTAAGTTCGAATGATTCCATCCTACCCTTCTTGAAGTTTGATGCGCAAGTCTCTCCTCCGCAACTGCTCCATTCTCCATACTGGCAAGTTGGTACTATTTTAAGATATCAGAAAAGTTATTTTTCATTAAATACTTAAAGCCCCGATGTTTAACCACTTAGTCTTAGCCAAAGGTCATCACAGTGCCTTGTGTCAATTTTTATTTCAAAAAGTGGTTTTTGAAGGGCTTTTTGTTCGAAAAATCATGAATTTATTTAAAACTAACTTTTAGAGGTCACACATATCTTTTAATAAGCGATAATTCACACCGAGCAATGTATACCATTTATCCCCATGTGTTTTTTGCCGAAAAAATAAGAAAATAGGTTCATTAATACGTGAGAAATGAACACATCCATGCATGAAACTCGTCCAGAAAAAAATGCATTTCAAAAATTTAGTTCTCAAAGAAATAGTACCCATGGTACAATAATATTACTGCCACCTGAGTGATGTCACAATGAGGTCACTTAGGTTGCAAAATGTTTTTGATACGCTAAAACATTGAACTGGCACAGTACATATGACATTTTATTATTGAAATATTGTGTCCGTTGTTCAATCTTTGGATTGGTGTTAAAAAGATAATGATTTTTGCACCTTATCGTGGGATATTGCTGATTAAAAAAATTCAATTTTGGTTGAAAAATGGCTTGAAATGAATGTTTGCGAAATGAAAAGCTGACAACTTTTTTTCAATATTCTTTTTTCTTTTCAAAATCTCTAAAGTAACCAAATAGTAAATGAGTGATGAAAACCTATTTTCTAATTACTATGACTTAAGTTTCTTACCTTGTTTTGCAAGTCCAACAGCAACTAGGGCTGCTATGGCAACAATGGAACTCCACTATAAAAATACAAAGTGAAAATATTGTAATCGTAACCAATCAAATGAATCAAATTTTGATTACCTCGCATGATGCACTATATGATCAGAAATAGCTCTTAAAGGTCTTAAACATGTCCACAATATATAAAATAAAAGATTTCGGGTAAGTAAATTACGTACCCCGATAAGTGTACATCATTCGGATTACAAATTATTGTTCAAATAAAATGTTTGTGGAAATTATGAATCAATATCTGTTCACGTATACATATTATCTTTAGTTTCCTTATTTAGAATAAGTATATTTTAAAAGCTCCTTACCATCCTCCCGAAAGCTCAATGTGACAGGATACAGATGCACTGGTCCCAGGTCCATTTTATACCGCAATATTGAATACATTCTTATTGACGTTGTAAAATCATAGAGAAGATGGGGGTCACTAATCGCGGGCATGTTCTAAAATGTGTATTGGCGTCAAAGTAGTGGACTCTGTGGATCCAGCCATCATTTAGTCATAATGTGATTAAAATGACTAAAATGTGACCCCTTATTAAGGCCACTGTTAAGGTATTTTGGCAGATGAATGACTAAAAAGTGGCCCCAAACTGGAGTATAAAGGACTGTATAAAGGGTTAAGTAAAAGGATGGTACCAAGTGATCTAACCCACCCAAGAAGCATGCTCAATTGAGTCCTAATTCCATCCCAATGGGGACAATCTAAACCCAAAACTCATCTACATGCCTCCTCAATAACTTTGTTGTTTCACTTACAAATATTAACTGTAAAGTGAAGCTCCAGTCCTAATATTATAATGTTGAACCCTGGGACTGGAAAACCAATTTTACCTCAATTTAATTTGGAGAGGGGGCAAGCAATGGTAAAACAATTGATTAAATTTATTCTTTTCCACAACTATCAATTTGTAAGGACAGATGAGAATACCAATTGATACAAAATGTTCCCTTACTGATATTATGATAGACGTTTGCAGTCAGTAGTTTAAATCCATCAGTATATATTTTATAAAATTGAAAAAACATATGGCGTGTAGTTGAATTATATTTTTGTCAAAATAACCAGGATTAAATCATTCACTTTTTGCTTTGCAAGTATAACAAATATATATATCATTCCATTAAAAGGGTTGACTCTTAATGGCAGGGTAAATATGGAGGTGGGTGTGAAAAGTCACTTTTATTTGCTATTTTTTCCAGCCCCATGTCATTTCAATGGTAGCTTTCATCAAAAATTGCTACAAGTTTCGATTATTCTTATAAATACTAAATCTGAAAACTCTCTTTTCCCTGAAGCCCATGTGATTTGAGTATTATTTATCGTTAATAGTAATTATTTCTCCATCACTTTTTTATCACTAACATTTTTATGGTGTTGGGCAAATGTTACTGAGAACAGAGCTTAAGTAAAAAAAAGTGTATCTGATCAGATATAAGAAAATTATCAAAACTATCGCTAATCGTCATATTTTCACCAAATCAAAAAATCTAGGGCAAATGTTACGTTTGATAATATCAGATAATAGTGATAATTATCAAAACTATTGCTAATAGTTATAATTCTAGCTACACTTTTATCAATTACAATTTCTTAGTCTGGAGGAAATGTTTCATAGAAAAGGGCCCGTGTGAAATTAGCATTATCTGATAATTTATGAAAACAATTGATAATTATCAAATCTATATAACACTGTCTACTCATTGCTCTGTGCACGACCCTTGGTTGTCAATCCTTCTAAATTCCATGTTTTAATTTGAAAGGGAAGATCTTTTAAAAATCCACACATTTTTATTGCGCTTGGGAAAATACTTCATTATATCCCTTTTGAACTTCATTTGCTGGGGTAAAGATATTGATGGGTTTAATTCAATTTTTAGATATGTATTGCTTGAGACCATCTTTTAGTCAAAATACTTACAGGAAACCTAAATGGAGTATACATGTAGAGGGTTAAGTCCACTTTTTAGTAATTTTGTAAAGTAGTGTCTAAAAGATGGTCCAGAGTCCAGTCCACCTTTTCCTGGGGCCAGGCGTCTGTTTAGAACATGCCCTAATCGCCGCCTCCCTTGGGTACTTCAAACTCCATTTATGAGGCCGATAAGAAGTGGAAATTCAAGATGAAGCTGTCACGATTATTTAGATAACTACGATTTTAAAGTTAATCTTGATGCCACGTGGCTATTCTCATGTAATTTCCAAAATATCCAGGGTCTATTGATTTGTTTCTAATTCAATTATGCAAGTTTCAAAATGAATGTGTAAGAGGACTTTGTCACTTAAATACATGAAATATAAGTTTTAAATATTTGTTAGTTCTGGAACATTTACCCCCTCATCATTCAGAAAGCAGCAACGTAACATTTATGTTTAAAGTACGGATTGAATGTCTTCTATAATGCCATGTATGCATTTGGCGATTGAAGATAATTTTTGTAAATGTAACTAATGATGATAATTGATAAATAAATAAATAATAAAAAAAATTGAGAAGGTATCGCTTTATAACAAGCCTTCTTGTTTTTGCGAATGCAAATGACGACTAGCGGATACCGATAACCAACTATGTTATGACAAACTCATTTAAATATGAATGGAATAATGGCAGGTGCTATACACATTTAAATACGTTGCCAATACAATAGCAAGTTTATCCGGTAGCCGACTGCGTTCGAATTCGCGAATAAAAGGTAAGACTAAGCTTGTATTCGCGAATGCAACTAGCGCCTGTCGGCTACCGGATTTAAAACCTATACTATTTTATCGGAAATTCATCTAAATATGAATAGTATGGCGTGTATTCCGATGACTGGTCCGCCGATTTGCTAATTCGGCGGTTTAATATGAAACTAAATAGGTTAATCCGGTAGCCGCTAGCCGCTATTTGCATTCGCGAGTACAAGCTTGGCTTAACCATTGATTTGTATAAATTAGTCCGTCAGTTTGAAGTTGCAATATCAAACAACCCGTTTGTCGTATTATTCGCGAATACAACTCTTAGACAACAAGTCAATATGAGAGTCTACACACATCGTGGTGTTTTATTGATATCTGAAGAACACGGTGACCCAACCTTGGTAAAACGTAGTATTAAAGTACTAAACAACACAAAGACACACATCGGCCAGACTACACGAACTAGTTCACTAAAGGGGCCTTATCTCGTAGCAAGGCTTGGTATCAGGGTCATCGACAGTTATTGGGGCCACGTCAGTGATAAGTACGATTTAGATTTGGGGGGGGGGGGGCGTCAACGGCTGCAATCTGGCGTCGTTAACTATATAGCGGGGAATGTTCACTTGTAAATATCATTTTTCCACTGTACTTGTTCTTAAATTCATCTTCCGTTTGATTATTGCACTGTGCACTGTTTTTTTGGATGATGCGTTGGGTTTAGTATTTGGGGAGTTGTCAAGTAACTGTTAGTTTACAAAACATGACCACCCTCTTGGGCTAGGCTTTACTTATTTTTTATTAGCATAGGTGATGCGACTTAGGGCTATGAAGAAGGAGAACGGTGATCCTTTCCACATTTCCTTTTCATTTGTGTAAAGGGATTTACTCTCCAGAAAACTGTCACAGTTTGTATTGATAATCGAATGATTGCACAAAATACATGTTGATGGTAGCATTTAAATTTAGTACATTCCAGCAGTTTGATGTATGACGATGCCATTAATACTTACCCAAGCTGATTTGGGGGTTGCTCTGGACATATTGCATACAATAAGCACTAATGAGGTATTAAGGATTCAGGTAAGTCATCATTCAATTCTAATACAAGAAAACAAGTTTCTCGGGTTAGCAAATCCCAGCGAGTAAAGCATTTTATCAAAAATCATTCGTTATTTCGAACATTACAGTTTGTGAATAACCAGTAGCCATTGGTATTGTCTCCTTTTGGCAAAGTTTCCTCCCATGCATGACGTGGCGCGACGCCATATCAGAAATTACATTTGAGTAGAAGTCGCTATATAGCAGAGATTATATTCCGTATAAAAATGTCGGCCATTTTGAATTCTTTCTTAATAAGCAGACATAATGACTATGATACATCAGCACACAAAATTTGAACCAGACGACTGCTTATTGTGTTACCAGAAGTATAAGAAGTGCCGGCCATTTTGAATTGAACAATCTTTGAAAATCGATCTCGAACAGAGGTTAAATTACCTTAATCTACTATCTCTAGAATTTGTATCAAATCAAAAACTGAAATTTAAGTTATCAGAATCATTTTCATGGAAAATGTGCTCCGTTAAGCAGGGATCCTGTGTCCCCAAAGCATCAGCAACCAAAAATAAATGGTATGTCATAAATGATATAAATGGCCGTAGTTTTCCTGAAAAAAGCAAGCAGGAAAGCCAGAAAAATAAAATTGAAATAAAGATATGCATTGTGATATCAAACTATACATCGTCGCATGAGAATAACTTTGTACTATCTCACATTTTTACGGAACTGAGAAATCAAGGTTTGAAAGTTTAGAGGTCTGTATCTTACTTAGTATTGCTATGTGAAACTTGATTTTTTGTATGTCACCTGGTCTCACCCTAGAGATATCTTATATGAAATATCATACCTTGAAACAATTTACAAGATCCTTTTTTAAAACTATTGAAATGGAGTTGATACAATTTCCCACCGGAATAACAGCTTATTTCTAATTTCAAATTGTCATATCTGATATCAACTGTTTCAACCAATCAACTCTCTAAGAATTGGTCATGTGACGTGCAAAACTTGGAGTTATAACAATCTTACATTAAAACAAAGTATGCCAATATGCATGTTATTGTATCTAGAATGAAAAATAATGTTTTGCTTTGTAAAAAAATCTTCAAAAACCAAAGAATATTATTTAATAAAATAAAGAAAATTCAATTTATAAAACTTTAAAATCAATTTCTCAAATAAGTACAATTATTTCTCAATTTTAGAATCTCAGGACACCCTTCAAAAAGAATTTATTGCCTTTGAAACTAAGGCAGAAGTACAATGCATTGAAACCAATGATGCCAATACGGTCCCCCACATATTTCCCTTGGTATAAACCCTGTAGCCTAAACCTCCCAGCACATTACAATGTAGCCCCTTAGGGCCGGTCCGCTGGTCATTATCAGGTTATTTTTGATACAGACCAGTTGAATTTTTCACTGGGTATAGGAGAATAACATTGCAACTGGTCCGTAATTCCATTTTGACCAGCAGGTTTCAGATCCTTAGGGCCTAAGACATAACCAATTTTTATTACATGCACATGGAAGAAATTTGAAAATAGAAAAATAATTTCTAATTCATTTTAGATTAATGAAAGTGATGAAACCTCGATTTAGGTAATAACATTTTGTTCATTGGGATGCAGCTATCATTATCCATTCATTTTCTGTTGTTTGCTACTCTGTGGAGTACAATTGGGAATTGAAGCAATTGTAGAAGTGGAGGAGTGGCTCTTTGTAAAGAAATTGAACCAATTTGTTACTTTTCCAAAATAAAATGTAGATGATCTAAAAACAATGATCCCAAAAATGCAAAAGAAAGGACAAATCTGAAAAACATACTAGTAACAAAATAACTAAAAAGATCCCAGATGTTCAGTGAAAAGCGCAAAGTAAATCATAGATGAAGATAAAATAAAATAAGTGTTTTAAGGGACTATACTAACATAAAGATAACTCCTTATTGATATAGTGTATGGTCAGTAAAAGTTAAAGCTAGTTTAAATAGATTAAGCTTTTTTTCACAAACTATAAAACATCATTTTGAAAGAGATTTCAATAGTATACAGACAGTGATTGCCTTTGAGCAATGTAGTGCAAAATATGACAGTTACTATTTGTTTTGATTACTATATCTAGTATATAACCTATTTAGTTAGAGACCCATGCCTCTCTATCGTTTCAAAAAATGTACCTAACGTATCGGTCTCTGTTAATTTATGGCATCCATACTTTTCTGAAAGGTAACATATTGAGGTTCAATTTTCTGCCGGATGCCCTCGCAAACTCTCATTGGTTGCTCTATATTGTAGCATTCCGTTACCATGGTTACGCATCTATAGACATCCTACCTTGGAATCTTAAATCATTTGTAGCTTTGTCATTATTTTGTCTATTGATATGATATTGGTATCAAATTAAACCTAAATAAATTTCTCATATAATTAAAATATTCAATTATGCAAATTAGCTCATTTGCATAAATTGTGACGTCATAAATCTATTTTTCGTTCAGAATTCTCAAGTATGGCAATGTATCTTTAAGAACTGAAGCCGTACGATGGAATTTCTTCAATGTTATGACTTTTATTCAATGAGCAGAAGGTTTAAGCAACATAAAAGTGAAAACTGATTCAAAATTGGATCAGAACTAACAAAGTTATTAAGCTTTCTGGGCAGCTACCATGAACGTTATCATTGAACAATTAACGTTAAACATCTTACCTTAGAATTGAAATGTTTGGTAGCTTTGTCATTATTTGGTCTATAGAGGAGATCTTGGTATCAAATTGATCCTAATTGAATAAACGGTATGGTAACGATATTCAATTATGCAAATTAGCTAATTTGCATAAATTATGATGTCATCAATCTATTTTGGGTTCAAAACTTCCAAGTATAGCAACAAATTTATTAGATCCGAGGTTGGATGGTGTAGTTTCTGCATAGTTTGTCATTTATTCTATGAGTGGAAGAGGTATGAGTAATATAAAAAAATATTCAAAATTGAATGAGTATTAGTAAAGTAATTCAGCTTTTGAGGCAGCTGCTATGAACGTTACTATTTGACAATCATAAATAAAACACTGAAATAACAAAAATGAAACATGATGATGAAAAAAATGAAAGCTGATTCAAGCTTATTGAGTGAAAAATATATATTTTACATGTCACTGAATTAGTTGGTGTATAGAAATTCATAATTTTGACTGTCATTGACAGGGGTCAAAACAGTTTTTTTGATTTTGTAACATGATTTATTGTTTGTGAGAAAGTTATGGATTAATCAGTACGTGAATGGGTGAATGGTATGGTGAAATCTGTTATGTAATCTATAAATCTTTGAAATGATTTGCTTCATAGGCGTCAATCTATTTAAAAATGCGAAACATCGTGACTGGTCAAACATCAATATTTGTGCTGCAATTCAAGCAGTGAACATCTACATGAATTTTTAAACTGATTTGCTTCATAGGCGTCAATCTATTTAAAAGGACGAAACATCATGACTGGTCAAACATTAATATTTGTGCTGCGATTCAAGCAGTAATCATCTACATAACCTGTTAATACAAATTTATGACATTATATCACAAAATGTATGTCATTGCTGTTTTTATGTCACCACCAAAAGCGTTGACATATTGTTCTCCATTTGTCTCCATTTTTGAGACGGCGTTTGACATCTGTTTGGGATCTGTAACAAATGGTAGGTTGTGACATTTTGCATGTTTATGCCTTGTTTGAATTATTTACAAAATGTTATAAAAAATATCAAAATAATATATTTTTAAAAGCCTCATTCATTTTGAATTATTGCATTGAAGAGGATTCAAAGATTGACTTTTTGCATGCTGGTGACGTTGCGCCATTCTTACACCTAAAACCTAACCGATTTTACCATTGTATATGCTTTTTGAAGAAGGAAATCTTATTTGTTGAATTTTCTAGCAGAAATCGACTCCCTTCACTCATTTTGTCAGATTACTGGCAGTGACATTAAAGAGACAATTTTTATTATCTAGAGTGTCTCAAAAGATGAACCAAAGGTATATCAACAGCAAAGATAAATCAATCAATATTTTCAGATATTTTTGCATGGTCATTTAGGAAAAGCATGTAAGTTTTCTCTCCAATACTAATTTTTTAGTTCAGTCTTGCCTTTTTGATGCTTTAACCCTTTTTATACCATGTGTTTAATTTAACCTCCTTACATTTCGATAAAAGCCTGCATCCTTACTGCTACATTGTTTATCATATATGACAATGTTTCTGGTGGAATGTTTTGAATTTCCTTTCACATGTTGACCTCAAATTGTTCTATGTCTCTTGGCTTTGGGATAAACATAAATATGGTTCTTGAAGTCATTCCAGAGAAAATGTTTGGGGTGTCAAATCTGTTGAATAGGGAGGCCTTCACACTGTCTTTATATAGAAAGAAGAAACTGCTTTCATGGGAATTTTTGTTTGGCCCTTGCTGTACATGGAGGGGCTCAAACTGTCTGGAACCACAGTGTTCTCATTTGGATATCATTCAGTCTCTGTAACTCTGGCAGATGGAACTCCATTATCAATTAACTGCTAAATCATTTGACGATAATTGAGCTGGTTCTCTGTGATTGTTCTGCCATCTTCAACCTTGGAACTTTTTTCTCTAGGGCTATGTGAAGGAGCATGTTAAGCTAATCCCACGCCAAAAGACCTAGAACAACATAAAGCCAACACCCAAAGAGAAATTAAAAACGTTCCACCTGAAATATTATCAAATGTGATGAACAATGTAGCACAAGGATACAAGCTGTTATCGAAATATGAAGTAAAAAGTAAAGGGTTAAATCATCAAAATGCAAGACTGAGCTGAAAACTTTGTATTGGGAAGGAAACTTACATGCTTTAGCAACATGACCATGCAAAAATATCTACAAAATATCTATAAAATAAATATTGATTGGTTTAATCATGGTGTTAATATACTTTTGGGTACATTTTTGAGACACCTTGTACTATTTATCATACCAAGCTATTATAGTTCATAAA